CCATTGTGGTGAATCTTGGTCTTTTGATCACGGGGACCGTAGCTGATGCAAATGGAAATTGGGTGTTGGGCGCCAGAAAACACTGCACTACTATGACGCATTTCGATGTCATTGCATTTCATCAGATATAGTTGGCATGCATGGAACCCGGGACCATTGGGATTTTAGTTGTGACCGCTACCGGTAAGCCACTAGGTCACGACGGGCAACGCTTGGCACAGCGGTTTACTGAAGGATGTTGAGGGTCATTTTGAAGTACACGTTGTGTGGATGGGTGGCGACGCGCAATCTCAATGTTGACTGCGATCCCCATTGTGGTGAATCTTGGTCTTTCGATCACGAGGACCGTAGCTGATGCAAATAGAATTTGGGTGTTGCCCACCCGAAACACTGCACTGCTATGACGGGTTTCGATTTTAATTCCTTTTTATCAGACAGAATTATCCGGCGTTGAACTCTGGACCATTGGGATGTTTGTTGTAACCGCTACCCGTAAGCCACCGTGTCACGACGGGCAACGCTTGGCACAACGGTTTAATGAACGATGTTGAGGGTCATTTTGAAATACCCGTTTTGTGAATTTATTTCGACGTGCAATCTCAATGTTGGCTGCGATTCCCATCGTAGTGAACCTTGGCCTTTTTATCACGAAGACCGTAGCTGATGCAAATGGAAACTGTGTGCTGCCCACCCGAAAATACTGCACTACTATGACGCGTTTCGATGTTATTACATGTCATCAGCTTGAATTATCGGACGTTGAACCCGGGACCATTAGTATGTTAGTTGTGACCGCTACCAGTGCTGGTAGCTCGTATCGATGAAGCAATTGTTGATTTGTTCCCCGGGTTTGGCTTTGTCGCAAACGTTTCACCACCATGCCAGGTTGCACTGAGGATGCCACCTCGCATGGTGGTGAAACGTTTGCGAAAAAACAGCCAAGTTTGGAGAACAAATGAACATTTGTCAAATGCTTATAGTGGTGTTGTATCTGGCGTTTTTCAATTCCGATCACGCGGCTTATATATCTCTCGGTGTCTGATCCACACCTACACTGTCCAACGCCTCGTCTCCTGTTCTTATGTTTTGTTACGTTACAGTGCTTGTAACCTAAATTCTTTATCATTTATCGACCTCTGCAGTTTGTTGTTCGATTTACGCATTTGCCTCCACATACCCAATATTCAGTACGTCAGATGGGTTGCTGCGTACACCGAGTTTGTGTTCGTGTCTTCTATGATCTCTACTCATTTATAAAAAAGGATGGATATTAATGTATCATTCAGAGATCGTGCGACGCTGCATTGTTGCAATCGTTGATGTGTGGATCAATGATGTGGACACTGCTCATTGGAAAACACGTTTTATTTGACCAGAGTTAGTAAATCTGTTGCCCACTGGTCGCTGACTATCACACCTAACCGTTGTTCGAGCATGTACTAATCCCATTTAAATACTCATGTTTTCTACATATCTGCAACTCGCTAATCATGGAGTTTCCGAACCTCTCGCTTCGTTCATTAATGTCTCAGGCTGCGCAACCGATTACACAGTAAAATGGATGAGTTGCAACGACTAGTGACCGACTGCAACAGTAGTTAAAGACGCTTTGCTAAGCCGCACCATCTGAAATCAGTGACACACTTGTGACAGTGACACTCTGTTCTTCAAAATCTAATCCCTTTCAGCAATCCATTTTTGACTTCTGTTTATCCTTCCCTATCGTTCTTTCATCACCGCACTTTCACTGTTGGAACTGATTTGACTCTGAGTTATTCATTTGTTAACACCACCTTTTTTAATCACGAACTGTTAATGTACATAACTTATAGACTTCGTCGTCATCTGCTCTGTCCGTATTAATGCAAATATGTGTGTAAGTTATTTGAGCTTCTTGCGCTTGTTTTCATCTACAAGAATCAACAGACTCTTCTAAGACACATAGCGGTTGCTCCAAAAACTGATAATCAATCTTTGAGTACTACTTGTCACTAGCTACTGCGGCATGCCCTAGGGATGCAGTGTCCTAATCCTCCAACCGTCACAGAAGATGATCAACAACGCCCTACCTGTTGCCTCGAGCGAGGTTGATGTGCGTGAGAGTGATGCTGCTCGGGCTTCCTCGTTTTTCTTCTTCACTTTTTCATACATATCCTTCCGTACCAATTCCACTCTTCCTCCTTTTTAGCGCCTCCCCCAATTCTCAGTTCTCCTCCATTAATTTTGATAGGGGATTCTTCTCTAGTTGCTACCAACGCGTAATCGCAGAGCGTCACTCCTGCCTTGTGGAAAGTTCGATGTTCAACCAAGCGGAAAACCGCCGGCCCGTAACCTATAGCTAACGAGCTTGTCTCGTGACCTTGCGGCGCGGGTTCGAGCCTGCGTAGGGGCAGGGCGACCCTCGCAATATCCTTAGCTCACGTGCGACCAGCGGTGGTTGCGCAGCAGCGAAGCGTCGGTACAGCGTATCGGCGTACTGCTGATGCCCTAAGCGGAAAGCTGCAGTTTATCCGCTTCTATCGTTATATTACAACATAGTATCTGAAGTCCATCGCGACGGGATTGGATCTTAACGTGGCGTGATGGTATGTGTACCTCAGCGAGCCATTGAGCTATGCTGGGTGGTGCTTTTTTACACCTTCAGAGCCACTCATCAAATTGATCAATGGTTAGAGGTCAGACAAACAGCCTCCTGGTCCTCCAGGTTGGAGGTTGGAATGAGGGTGGCACCTTATTCCTTAAAACGGACTCTTTGTAGCCCATCGCCAAAGCAGCTAGCTTGCGGTAAGCTTTTTGAACCAAAGGCTTTGGTTGAGAACCCCAATCGTTCTCCTGTCTAGGCCTGGGCAACCTGACAGTATCCTGCCCTTGCAATACTATAAACCTTTCTCCTAACAATTTCTTGATGCTCTGGCTGTCGCAGAGGATAATAAACGGCGCCCTATCTGCTTTATCGAGCATGGTGGATAGGGGTTTGGATGCTACTGCCCAGGCCTTCTCGTCTTCTTATCCCCCTTCTGGCGCTTTTTCATCCTTATCATCCAGCTCCAACTTTACTTTTACCCCCCCCCCCATTTTCAGTCTACCAATTCTTGGCGCTCCCCCACCTTGCTTCAGTAGTCGCCTGTCTTCTAGTTTTACTCACACACAGTCGCAGGGCGTCGCCCCAATACATTCAACAAGTCTATATTCAACCAAGCGGACAACATCAGTTCATCCGTTTCCCTTTGGAGTCATCGCGTCTCGCTAAGACTGGCACGCTTCAACATGCGCACTTTGCTACAGATTGGCCAACAGGCAGCACTTGTCTGCACACTAGCGACCCTATCGATCGATATTTGCCGTTTATCAGAAACACGCCTGCAAGATTCGAGCTCCGTGCTTACCCTGCGATCCCCCACATGCGACACTGGCAGCACCTTTTCATTGCGCCTGTCTGGTGATGATGCAGCTTCAAATGCCGGTTAAGCTGGCGTCGGCATTGTTTTGAATCCCCGGGCTGAAGCTGCCCTGATCGATTGGATCCTAGTCAACAGTCGGATGTGCGCCGTTAGATTAGCTAGTTCATTCCATGCTACGAAGTCGCGCGAGAACAAACGGTGGCTGTTTATCATTGCGGCCTTCGCCCCTACAAACTGTAGCACTGATACGGTAAAAGATGATTTGATCAGCAACTTCACGATCTCCTTCGATACAGAAGTAGCACGGATACTGGAGTGTTGGCTAGTGATCTAAACGTCCAAGTCGGAAAATTATCCTCTGACGAGCTTCATCTGGGCGGCCAACGTGGTGTAGGCTCTCATAATGATAACGGTGAGCGATTGCTACAGCTGTGTGAAGATGCTCGCCTCCTTCTCGCGAGCACAAACTTTTGACACAGCACGCGCAGAAGCGTGACTTGGCGGCCAACAGCGTCGGGCACGCTATGGACACAAATCGATCATATCGCGATCAGTTACCGCTGGAGAGGCTGTGTCCAAAACTGTCACTCGATTTGGAGCACGAGCGTGGACTTTGACCACGCACTTGTCTGCGCCGACCTTCGATGGCTTGGCCACGTGTTGCGCATGCCAACACACCGACTCCCGCGACGTGCCTTGTTTGCGCGCCGGGGGTGCCATTGGAAGAGCAAGCCGAGCGATGAATGATGAAAACCCTCACTTCGAAGTTGGCGTCGGTTGGTGCATCCCGACTGTCTGACTGAGGTCCTAAGAGCGATGAACACGTTTGGTTGGACATACTTGCTGATATGGGTGGGAGCCGGTCCCAATGCCGCTTGTGTTGAGAGTTCCTTTGTCCATCCCCCTCCCGCTTAACCTCCCCACCAATCATGATCTCATTCGTTAAGCATAGTATAACTTTTTTTGCGGCACGATAGCCGACTGTTAGCTCTCCGAAACGATGTCCATCCGTTAATGGTGACTCAACCGGCGTGCCTCTCTTGCTTTCTTTTCTTACCTTTTCTATTTCGGCACAATAGCTAATATGTTTTCCATCTGCAGCTAACGTGTATAATGCTACGCTATACAGTATCTGAAGTGTTTCTAACTGTGTAGAACGGCGATGACGCAAAAAGGCTGTATGGCGCACGCTCCCTGACCCCAACTCTTACTGATCCTAATTTCAGAAAGGTTTAATGAGGTGCCAAAGCCTCCCTGAAATAATAACTTCTTGATGGCTTCCGCTTATATTCCGTGATTCGAAACGTCTACAAACTAATCAGTCCTCTAATTTTTTCAAAGATATGGATGATAATATTTTACTTCTCATCTTGAAGGCTGTCAGAATTATCATTTACTATTATGACATGTCTTTTTTGTTTCACTGCGCATGTGCTGCCAAATGCATTTGGGCATTTTGTTATTTGCCAGGATTTTTCACTCATCTAACGGTTATCAATCTGTTTGACCACGATTTCGGTTCATTTTCACACACATCCCCAATGTACTGTTTTCGATTTTTTCTCTTTCCAGACCTCCGGTGGTGTAGTACGTCGAAGCATGTTAGATCTTATACGTAGCTTTGTTCCTCCATTGACTACTGCGAAACATAAGGGTGAGATGGGCCGTTTGGCAATTATTGGGGGCTCAAGGGAGTATGTTCCTCTTCGTTGGGTCATATATATATATATCTTTGCAGATATACTGGTGCCCCCTACTTCGCGGCCATGAGCGCTCTTTGTTGCGTAAATTTCTTTTTGTTAGCAAACATTGAATAGGGTGCGGATATAGTGCACATTATATGCGCTGGTGCAGCTGCTCCAATCATCAAAATGTACAGTCCAGAACTTATTGTTCATCCTGATTTGTAATGTTCCAGTTCATTTTACCCATTCTCTTTCAAGAGATAGTAATGTTGAGGAGGCGAAGAAATGGTTAAATAGAGCACATGCTGCTTTACTGGGTCCAGGACTTGGCTTGAGCGAGAATATTCCGAACGCCACCGAAGTTTGTTCCCTTTTTCGTTTGCATTACATCGTGAATTGTTAGTTACTTTGTTACTGCTGTGAACAATGCAAACCTTTGGTTATTGACGCGGATGGACTCTCTATTATCACTCGGAACCCTCAACTTGTTCAGAATAAGAAGTGTGTCATTCTAACTCCAAATGTAGTTGAATTCGAGAGACTCTGTAATGCTGTGGTGAGTCTGTTTGAACGTTCATTCTTTAGTTACCCAACACCCGGTCAAGTGACTCCCTAATAGAAACGGAATCTTTGGCAAAGGCTCTCGGTGGAGTCACCATAGTGCGGAAAGGCCCTTCGGATGTTATTTCGAATGGAGAAATGAGTGAGCAATTGCTCTTCTATCCCGTATCCTAAAAGATGACTTTCTCGGTTGACCATGTGCTCACATTCTTTTGTTCTGGTGGATAATTCGGTCCTTAGCATATTACTTGCTAATCTTGTTCTTGGCTTTAAATACAGGTTGCACGGTAATTTCTCCGATTTTTGCACGTTTTTTACAGCAAGAACTATGTGACTTGAAAAAATAGGACCGTTCTCATTCTGGTCTCTGTTACACCCTAGCTAAGGGACGATATTGTGAGGTACCCAAGAATGGGGTCCGTTTTTGAGATTATTCATACTTGCCATCTCACCGTCACTTTAGACAATGGTTGCTTTCAAACACTACTCAGTGAACACTCATTAACTTTTTTCTCGCTATGTAGCTCGCGATTTCTCTTTCCATTGCACCGGCCCAAATGCTTACGACAAATGAGCATTAGCTACCGAGTGAATACTTACTCTCACAATTAACTCAAGATGTAGTTCACACACCGATTTGTCATTTAAGCCGCATTTACAAGACGAAATTCGTAGCATCTGTAATCTATCTAACAACCCAGATCATCTAGTGGTGGGTAGTGGAAAGAGCGGCAACCTTCACAACTCATTCAGCGTTCTCAGCCATTAATCCGGAGTATGCTGTGTGAAAGTTCTCAAACTCCCGTCTCTTGACTTACACGATTATCACCGGAAATCTTACGGTTTATTCCGTTTTGTTCAAAATCAATCACCAGTAATAAATTATCTGCGCTTCCTATTTTTATTGACCTTTTATTCTCGTATTGATTTTATCGAATTCTCTTCCGGGCGTTGCTTGTCTGCACTGTGTTTTGTATCGACCCGTGTTCCGTTTCTCATTTGCTTATTCGCTCTAGCCATATGCTTCACACCTGCCCCCCATTTTCAAAAGTAACTGCTTAGCTTAATCGTTGATTGTCTGGTAGACAACCAATCACACTCTTGGATGTCGCCTATTTATCGTATATAGTTTTTATTCTGCCTTTATTGTATTTTTATTGGTGATATGCTTTAAAACGCCAGCAGTGATTGCGCAAACGACGAAAATACGTATATTTGAGTGTATAAGACCCACTTTGACTTGGCTGACTTACTCTTTCGTAGTCATTTGCATGGAATACATCTGGCTATGAGGGCCCCATCCCTAACTTTAAGAGAAGACGCGGAAACGTTGGTTGCAAATGTGTACGCATTTAAACTATCCATTATGACGCATCCTTGTTTCCCACACCCACAGTTGTGGACCACCCTGTATTAACCCAACGACAACAAACTGTCTCTGAGGACATGAGGCGCAACGGCTTAGGCGGTTTGTTCACATGTCAGTGCACTAAACCGCACCACAACTACACTTCTGCAGATACAGCGCGACAGGGGCATGTTCTTTAAAGTTCTGAGCAGCCTCATAAAATTGTTTAAAATTTTCAGCCCTGTTTCGCTGCCGCATTCTGATCAACTGATGGTGGTCGATTCACTTGAAAGATATGCTTGTATTCACAAGTAGATTTAGAACATACGTTTTGTTCTCATCCCTCAGCTATTGTTTGTGAAGAGGATGGTTCTCCTCGTCGATGTGGTGGTCAAGGTGACTTACTCTCGGGGGCTATCACAACTTTCAGTAATTGGTTTCATCGATCTCAAAGTTCTGAAAAGTACGTTGCGTGCTGTTGTCACGCTTTCATTTCGTTATTTTTATCATTCGGATAAATTTAGTCGCTATTTGATATAGTTAACTTGCATCACGACTCAATCATAGACTCGTGCATTCTGACGTGTTCTCCAGTTTTCGTATCTCATGATTTGAGATTCCTGAGGGACCAAATGATCTTGCCTTCGGCATTTCTTGATGATCGGAAGGGTGAACTAACTACTGATCTGTCCAGTTGTTTTTCGCACTGATTTTACGTACCATCTGTCTAATACTGTTGCACTCGTTTATGCCATGCAGTAAGCAGCGAGCCAAATATGGGCACATATTCACCTGTTAGTCACCGTTTCTCTCGTCTGACCTGGGTCTTGAGCTGGACAGTCGCATACCATGACGGTTTTTAGCCGCTGCTTGCTAGTGCCCCAGGTCCATAGTGAGCGTAGGTTCGGATCCTGATGCAGTCAAGGGATTCGCACTACTGACGTCCCGACAGGACGAAACGGTCGTCTGACGCTTCTCCGGTCGTGTAAAGAACTGTCTGAATTGGATGATACTGCACAGAGCTCTCAACTAATCGTGCTCATGTCACGGTAAACGCCCGCGTACTCACCCATACACAAGGCAGAGCACCTGGGTTGACCGGTGGCGTAACTAACACATGGCCCTGTCGCTGTCAGCATGTGAAGTGACATCTCGCTGCGGCCATGGTGAAAGAGGAGCTTGCATAAGTGCCCTCTGCATAGTTCATGTCGTATTAACCTAGTCGCTTCGGCCGTCCATAAAATTGGTTTTGGCACGACATCGGTCATAATTTGATGTCCACTTTGGACCAGATGCTCCGGGATGAAACTGTTTATGCAACTACCGGCTCCATTACTCAGTGTCGGTTTAGTTGTAACGGCCCGTTTCGTCGGGAGAAATGACCTAGTTCCCGCGCGACCTACGCCAGAGGTGAGCGGCATGGTCTTACCTTGCGCGCGCGTCTCGCCCATTCTTGACACACATTAGCCCAAGAGTGAAAGGGGACAGGCCTTCGGTAGAGTGTTTTTACTACCTCATAAATGCGAGTACAAAGCTGCATGGCCTCGATTATATGCTGAGGCTGGCAATTTATGTCAACCTCCATATAGCAGAAAGCGGACGCGTAGTGGAACATGTGATTTCACATGTGTGCGAGGAGTAAGCGGGGGCATGTCGGGGAACGTGACTGTTTGTGCCAAAAGTGAATCGGCGTAGGTATTGCTTTTTTGCGAGGATGTGCGTTCCCCGTAACATCTCTCTCTTCATTTTTGAATATATCGTCATTATTTCAAGTTGATTTGCCATGTGGTTCTTCGTCGGAATCATTCCATCCGGCGGCAAGGACAGATAATGCGTTGGTTGCAGAACCTACACTGACACCGGTTGTCTCGTTGTGGTTCCGAATGTATCTATTCGTGTATGCAGTGGCAACTGTGTAGAAAACAGAAGAAGGCATCAGCAGTACGCCGACAGGTAATACCGATGCTTCGCTGCCGCGCAACTACCCTCAGTCGCACATGGGCTAAGGTTACTGCGATGGTCGCCCGGTTCCTTACGCAGGCTCGAACCCGCGCACTCGAATTACAAGACAGCCTTGTGATCTTCAATGCTACGGGCCGACAGCCTGTCCACGAATTGCTCGACGTCGCGGTTAAAGTTGGTTCCGGGGACGAACCCATGTCGTCTCCTCTAGCCATGCCACGCAGCATGCAGTTACACTGTTGGCGGCGATCCACTGCCATTGCTTCCCAACACCTTGAACATGTTCTGAGTCGTCACGCAGGTTGAATGTAATAAGAATGCTTCATTTATATGCCAC